CAAAGAAAATGCCCCACTTCACCCACTGTCAGCTTTAGCTATTCTGTCAGGAAATTATCCACTACTGTTCTCCACTTTTAATTCTGTACTGTGACTCAGAGTTATATTTTTGTGCTAAACATAGAGTGTTATAGTTTGGAACACTATGCTCGAGAAGACATAAACAGTTTAACTTCACAGGTAAGCAGTGAGCCAGGTCTTGGCAGGAGTAGAATTAAAGGATCAGTTTTACCAAAACAAACCCCGTTTTGTTCTTTAGTAGTGCTGACAATCAGATAGTTGTATAAAACTGTCCTTTACTTGCAAACTGAGACTGCTGATACAAACAATAGGCATGTTTGAATTTTTGTCACAGCTTCCATTGGATGATGTGAGAGAGATGTAAATGCTGAACACCATAAAAGCCGTGCGGCTAATGAACAGAGCAAAGTAAAAAAACATGTGTTGGACACTGTCCACTCTGGTTAATACAATTTGCAAAAATAATCTACTGGCAAAATGGAAAAATTTTACAAATTCGTTGCTGATTTTTCACAGTAAAACAAGTAATTTTCTCTGAACTGTGGATAAAAGTTCCTCCTTAAGGCAGAGAACATTCCTTTGTAGTGTCATGGTGAAAGAAGTTCTTTGCCGAACTTCAGAGGAATCTGGGTTCCTTTTTCTACGTTCTTTAGTTGTTCCCTTGTCAATTGATTTTCCATATAATGCACAGTTATAAAAATAAAAATGGTTCATCTGTTAGTTGAGTCAGGAGATGGAGAGTAAATTGACAAGTTCATGCAAAAAGCCCACAGCATCTGCACTTTCTGAAAAAGTGCTTTTGTAGTACTGAGAAAGAACAGAAAGGAGGGATTGATTGTATGTCTATGTGTAGGTGGCAAAAGTATTTTTAGATAGAGGTGAGAGGCTGGAAGCTGTAAAAAAACCTGAGAGTAGGAGCAGAGTAGACAGGAGATGCCACAGGTAATGTGCTTTATATCAAGCAAATTGAGCCATTTAATAAAATAAATTTTTAAACAGTATTAGAAGTAAAATAAAAATATTTTGTATTTATATCAGAACTGTTTGCTAAATTAAGTGCATTTGTCTAAATTCAGAATGGTTTCTCTAGCACATATCACTGCTGAGATTATAGGATCAAATAGAGAAAAAGTCTCTGAAAAGAAATGAAAACCCAGGGAAACTTCAAATGAACAAGGTGGATATTTGCAGTATCTGCCTTTTAGATGTGACAAAGCTTTCTGTATTTGCCTTCTCGGTCACTTCCGAAAGAAAGAATCAACACAGTTCATAATGAGATTAGTCTGTTTGGTGAGGAGGGGTGGCAAACAATGAATAAACAACTCGGGTTTAATACTGATCACGTTTTAAGCAGCACATTTCTGCTGGTTACCTAACATCAGTCCTGGCACTGTGAGTAATAGGATAGCAACAGGCACTCTCAGATATGCGTTTCAAATTAATTAAAACATGACACACATCTAGAATTACTGAACTGAGGCATAAAATAATGGACAGCTGAACTTGCAGAGATTTGAAACAGAATCAGAAGAAAAATAACAGAAAAAAAGTAAAATGTGAATTTGCCCTTTTTAGCCGTATGACCCTGGTACTTCAGAACTTTGAATCTAATGAAAGAAAGTAACATTTCTATGTCTAATTCAAACACCAGAAATGGATTTTTCCAAGGCTGGATTTTCAGAACTATGAAGATTGTTTTCTATGGATCTGTGTTTTATGATAGATTGTAAGTATCAACTTTTTCTCCAGAATTGCAGCATTTACAATGTCACTTTCTTATGTGGCTTCTTCACCTTTGTATGGCTGACTGCTTTAACAGAATGTGTGGGAGCTTACCTGCCTTTAGGACAACTCCTTTTGGCAAACATAATTAAATTTGGACAAAGGTTTTGAAAGTCTGGCCTAACAGAACAGACAGGCACAGTTCAAACTCTTACTTTTTGTAAGGTATCAGTTTATAAATACAGAGATTGATGTCATTGTGTGGAAGTTATTATACAGAACATTCAGAATACAACAGATACATGAACTGTAATTTCTACCATAGCTTGCATACTCTACATAAAGCAATTACAGGTGGCAATGCTTTCAATCTGAGATTTGTGGGGTCAATACATGTACTGGATGTTTCCAATTAACATACACATATAGTCCCATCTGAGGTGTCAGTATGACAGCCCTCCTGCATCTCCAAGAGAAAAAAGTCACAGTGAGTAGAGGTTGTGAATTCCAGCTCCTTCTACTGCAGTGAAACGATGGAGAAATCCTTCAAAGGCAGAAAACATAACAGATGCTAAAATTGGAACCTGGGCTGGACAGTTTATTTGTAATGTGGAATCTTTCATGACTGCACTTGGGCAGGGACTCAAAATTACATATCTTCTGGCACCTTTGGCTCTATTATGCATGTTGATATTGTGTGGGACCATCGGTTCAACATTGACTCAGAGGGAAGAGTGCCTCAGACTGAATCACTAATGCCATATCCTGCAGCACTCTAGTAAAGCCTTGGCAGTAAGGAAGGATAATTACAGTGTGGTTACTATGACTGATTTTTGAGATGCTTTTATATATACCTCAGGCATGTCAGTAGGTAAAATGCAGTCAGCTTGCTCAGAAATAACCAAGTGTCCCAAGTATGTTATTCTTTACCACAAAATTGGACATACAGATAGAATCCTACTAGACAAAAACATCCAGCCAAACACCCTACCCTGAATTACTCTATATCTTTTTCATGTATATGTAATTTACAAAAGTGTAAGTATGAATACAAAACTGCTGTCCTTTTACATGTTCCTTTTACCTTTTAATGATAAATAAACATCCATATACAAGATGTTATTTCCCTTACAATAGAAATGCTGGTCTCCAATTTGTTCTTGAAGACTGTGAATAACTGTTGAAGGAGTAGGTGTGACAGTGGTATCAGCCTCACAACATCAACAGAATTTTAATAATGTTTTTTTGTGAACAGACAGCCCAGAGTCAAATGATTCTTGGTGTGTCAAGGAGACATTCTCAAAAGTATTCAGGCTAAGATACACAGAAGCAAAGCTATAAGGTATGTGCAGTGTTTACTACTTGTCTTACATGTTTGTCATATAACACCTGCTATGAGACATCAAGAAAATATCAATACTGCAAATTCAGTATGAATTGGGATTCAATATGAAAATAAGTCCACATGTTCAATTAAGCCTATTGATGTTATTTTTTATCTTTTCCTCAATAAGAGTCTGTTTATCTCTCTCTTGCTGAAACTCATCTGGTTTCTTGCCATTGCCTTTCCTTCCATCAGCAAACCTGTTCTTTCCACCTTCTGATGATTTTACTGTCTCCTTCCTTCTTCCGTGTGTTAAAATAATCAAAGAAAAAGTCAGGCCAGCATTAGCCTTCATTAGATTAATGGAGTGCAGACAGTTTACAGTCTCCATGCCATTGTTTCAGGATGTTTGCAGATTCATTCAGATACTGCTGTATCAGTTACAGTTAGTTCATGCTTTCAAGGTTATCTTTGCAACCAAGAGAACTAGACACCATTTTTTAAAGGAGAAAGATAAGATTACTCATAATTTCAAAATGCTGTGAAGGCCACCTAAATATTCCCAAACAACGTGTGAATACCTCTAACAGTAAGAGGCAACAAGTAAGTTGTAACTGACAAGGTGTAACAGACAAGGCTAATTATGTATTTTATTATTTATTTTATTACTCAAAAAATATAATTTCTTCAGTTATCAACTATTAAACAGATCGACCCTTACTTGCAGCGAGGAAGGGGTGCAGTTTTTGTTTTCCATCTGCTGTTCTCACTGGGGACAGAAAGGCCGAGATGTTTCACACCACCGTGTGAATTAGGTGATGATGGCATCACTGCAGCGGCCGCA